AAAAAAAAAAAAAAAAAGGTACACTATTTTTCTTTAAAATTTAGATGAGCAATACATTGAGAGTTTATCTGTTTTATGACATGGGGAGTGATTGAGGGTCCCTCCATCCTCAGGTACAGCTAGTGAATTTTAGCTTTTTCTGAAAATGTTGTATTTGCATTCGTTCCCTTTGCTGTCACTTCTCATTGCTTCCCCCAGGCTAACCACGTCATCTTTCGTGCTGACTTTTCAGTGAAATATACCAGACATCTATTATTCCCATCTCATGAAGTCTTGGCAGTCAGAAGCACATAATGAAAGTCACTTTTGGTGTCAGAAATCTTCAGTGAGCCTTTTTGCTCAGAAGAATGATTGTTGCCATAATTTAAAAGTAAGGGTGTTGAATGACAGAATGTCCTACAGGGATTTGATAGTAGGAATAATCTTCTTGTCACAGACCATAGTTGGAATTGTGCAAAATTTCTCTCTTCTTTACCATTATCTGTTCCTTTACCACACTGAATGCAGGGTGAGGTCCACCCATTTGATTCTCAGGCACCTCACTATAGCCAACACCTTGGTCATTCTCTCTAAAGGAGTCCCCCACACTATGGCATCTTTTGGGTCGAAACATTTTTTCAATGAGTTTGGATGCAAACTTCTTTTCTGTGTTCAGAGGGTGGGCAGGGGAATGTCCATTGGCATCACCTGCCTCTTGACTGTGTTCCAGACCATTATGATCAGCCCCATGAACTCCTGTTTGAAGGAGTTTAAAGTCAAAGCCCCAAAGTACATTGGCTTCTCCATTTCCCTCTGTTGGATCCATTTCATGTTTGTAAATTTAGTTTTTCCTCTGTTATATGTGTTTAGCAACCGGAGCATGAAAAACTTCACAAAGAAAGGAGATTTGGGCTACTGTCTTGCTGTAGATCACGACACAATCACAGTTTCCGTATATGCAGTGTTGATAGTATTTCCTGAAGCTTCCTTGTGTGGTCTCACAATCGGGGCCAGCAGCTCCATGGTCTTCCTCCTGCACAGACACAGGCAGCGGGTCCAGCACATTCACAGCACTAATGTCGCCCCCAGATCCTCTGCTGAGTCCAGAGCCACCCAGAGCATCCTCGTCCTCGTGAGCACCTTTGTGTCTTTCTACTTCCTCTCCTCTGTCTTTCATGTTTGTGTTGCTCTTCTTTGTAATCGCAGCTGGTGGCTGGTGAACACCGCTGCCATGATTTCTGTGTGTTTTCCAACTGTCTGCCCCTTTCTGCTTATGGGCCGGAACTCTGCTATATCCAGACTCTGCTTCGCATGGATAACAAATATAACATTTCCTAATCTTATCAGAAATATGTGAAGTGAATGTTTTTCGCACCATATTTAGTTCTTGATGCATCACCATCAAAAACTGAGTTCAGGAAGTAAAGGAGAAATGCCATGTCTTTCTACATTACACACTAATGTGCACTGGGCTTTTTCTTCAGCTGGTTGAACTAGGAACCTGCATTTCTGTAGCGGAGGTGAATAAAGCAGCTTGACTTCATAAACTTAATCAAATGGTGTTTACACAAAATTTAATAGACTGGGTCCTAGCTCCTGTGTCAGATTCATAGAGTGGTTGACCAACTGGTTTACATGGGGAAATGTTTTGCCTGGCCATATGTTTTACATGTCCATACTGTTGCCTTCTCCAGAATATCATGTAGTTAAAACAATGCAATATGTAGCCTTTGCAGATTGGATTCTTTCATTTGGCAAGGTGCTTTTAAGGTTCTCCCATGTCTTTTCCTGGCTTGATAGTTCATTTATTTTTAGTGATGAATAATGTGCCATTGTCTAGATATATCACAGCTTTTTTTTTTTTTTTTTTTTTTTTAACCATTCACCTACTTGATTACTTCCAAGTTTGGACAGTTAAGCAGAAGTTCTGTAAACATTCATGTGCCGGGTTTTACATGGAAATAAGTTTTCAGCTCATTTGTATAAATACCAAGGAATGTGATTGCTAGAATGTGATAAGAGTATGTTTAGTTTTGTAAGAAACCATTAAATGGCCTTCCAAAGTGGCTATAATCTTCCCACAAGCAGTGAATAATGGTATTTGTTGTTAGGCATCTTTACTAGCATCCCCTGGTGTCAGGATTTTGGATTTTGGCCATTGTATTAGATGTGTGGTGGTAACTCATTGTTTTTCTTTTCAGTTGTCTAATGACATAAGATGCGGAGCGTATTTTCATGTGCTTCATTTTCCATCCAGTGTATCTTCTTTGATGAGGGTGTTTATTGTTGTCTTTTTCCCATTTTTAAATGATGTTTTTTGCATTCTTATTGGGCTTTGAGAGTGTTCTTTATGTATTCCAATACCAGACCTTTTAGACATGTGCTTTGAGGGGCGCCTGGGTGGCGCAGTCGGTTAAGCG